GGGGGGGGGAAGAAAACACAAATGAGTAGAGAGTAGTTGAGTTAAACACCTTCACTTGCCAAATGTCAAGTGGTAAAAAAACAGGTAAGATGGATAATTGAATTGAGCCTTCTCACGTGGATGAGGGATGAAAAGGCGCTTCGACTACACCGTCAACGTAAGAAAGACTAAGGCACAACAAAAGAAGCATGTGTGTGCGTGCAGTTGCTGCATGCAGAAGGATGCTGAGGCATTTTGTAGGCTCGGGAGCAAGTAAAACGAACGGCGTCAGAACATGCACAAAAGAGGACACAATGATTCATCACTAGTAGGAAGGTCCAAGGCACAGTAAAGAGGAGGGATTCTCTTCCTTTTCTGTTTCTTCTTTTCTTGTTATACCCTGGCGTAGTAAGACCTCCGCTAACTACTTTTACAACTACCACTACTACCACCACCGCCACAAGCGTAACATACCACTGGGACAATTTTGACAGGCCAGAATGTTAGCACCACTTAAAGGGAATGTTTTTTTTACTTGCTTAAGGCCAAAAGTTGTGTTTAGGGTGGGAAGTTGACGCAGACAGTCAAAATTGTTTTTCAAAACTGGCCGAGAGACAAAGACCGTGTAGTGTTTTTAGGTGACGGAGGCCATACAAAAGCAAACCAGGCAGGCAAGCAGGTAGTCAGAAAGGGAACGGAGACGGTGAGACGGGTGGAGGGAAGAGGTGTGTAGGCACTGGGTGTTGGTAGTGGTGTAAATGGCTGAGGTGTGAGGATTCCCTGATTCACCACCTCAATACTAGTCTTAAGGTCTACTACTTGTCAACTCAACTTCCCATGCATTCAATGTTCTTTGCTGGAGGGGTTAACAGAGGTAAAAAAGAAAGGGAAAAAAAACCTAAGCCATAGCCAACTTACCATATTTAATTTGACACACATCACCAACAAGTATGTCAGAAATGGGGAGTTGAACCAATTGACCTTGTCGAATGACAGCAAATTTGTGATCCGATTCAATTTTGTTCTGCAGCCCTCGAAATTGACGCTCCTTGGACCAATCATTGAAGGCCACCACAAGAACAACAACCACCACGGCAACGAGAATAGCAACTCCCTCTATCCATCCAGCCTCGCCTTCTGTCTCATCCTGACTGGCAGCATCAACATCTTTTCAGTAGTAATGCGACCAGAAAAGTGAATAAGAGAAAGAGAGAAAAAAGAACTTGTTAAGACGAGAAGGGAAGGTGGAATGAAATCGCTTATTTAGTGGTTTGTCTGATAAAAAGGCGCAACAAATGTTGCTGTTATGGTAATCGCAAGGACACCGTTGTCAGCGTCAGCATGTAGACGCTCCTTGTCCTTCCGCCATTTTTGCATACTTATGAAACCTTCAAAGGCAGCATTTGCATACAGAAGACATACATTTTGGCATACAATAAAAAGTTAGCATCATTTTTCTTTAGTGACACTAAAAATCTTAACCTAATTTGCCATGCCTGCAAGGAGGTAAGGCTAACCTGTTGATTTAAGGTGATGCAATAAAAGAGCGAGCCAACAAAAACACAGGGGTGAGTAAACAACAGAAAAGTTATTGAAGGCCGTTCTACGTAGGGGTGAGTCAATCAGTGGCAAACGAAGCATCTATCAAGTCCCACCATGAAATATGCTTCTTATGTGTGTGTGTGATAGGTAGTTAGGTCTAACTTGTTACTGCAATTTTATTGTGAGGTAATTAAAAATGGGAAGCCCATAGCAGCACACACCGAGAGCATGAAGGACGGAGGAGAGGTGGGGAGGCGGAGGGGGAGAGGGAGAGAACGAGGAGGGCGCAAGAGCGGCCTAGAGAGGATGAGCGCGCAAGTCTGCTATCGGTGTTGCACGCCTGTTCGCCTGTTCGCCTGTTCGCTTACTCGCCCTCCCGCCCCGCCGCCCAACAACGCACATAAAAGTGGCTGCCTGCTTGCCCGCCCGCCCGCCCGCCCGCCTGGCTGGCTGGCTGGCTGGCCAGCTAGCTGGCGGGCAGGCAAGCAAGCGAACGAGTTTAAAGCAAGGGAATGGGGTGACAATTTTCATGATACCGAGGAGAACAGTAAACTTAACAACTTCGAACTGACCCAAAAAAAATGTTGAACACGTGGAAAGAAGACAAGAGAATGATAACAGGGCTGAGAAATGCAACAGTCACAAAGAAAAGACAAATGAAAATCACAAAAAATGAAAAGTAACAAGGCAACACAAATCGACTTGTTTGTAGATTTCCAGTAGAGAGAGAGACTTACCGACTTTCACCTCCGTGCTTAAACAAGCGTATTATTAAGTGCGTGCATACACTCCCCTTCCTTCTTCCTCTTTCTCTCCCTCCTATGGCTAAAGCATTCAATTGGGGTGGCAGAGGCAGTGAAGTAGGCCATTCCAACAGACACGAAGAACACGAAAGTGAGGCCAAGAAGCAGGTTAAAGTGCAATTTAAATTTAGTAACCAATATACATATACACTGAGTGAAATCACAAACCAGAGTGACCGGAATTTGACCCAAATTCATTTATGGTAGTAAAAAAGGTCGTCACATTTCTACTACTCCCCTTCCCCTCTCCCGCCCCCACAAACCTCTACCCTCCCTTTCTCTCAAGTACACAGAGGGAAAAATTATTTTATCCATGTTTTTTTTTCACTCTATACTAGGAGAGTCATGTCAGAGAAGTGAAACAAAAGTGAAACGTTCTATTTGTATAAAACCAAACATTTAGTTAGGTAAAGTTGCCTAAGGCTGATGAGGGAAGGCACTCTTGCAAGTGATTGCTCAACACACAATCGCAAGAGGAAGGAGGACAAACAAAGGGTATGCCACAGGCTTTTTCATGCTAAAATATTCACAAATTTGGAAGTCTAATTTTGTGCATTAACTGAGGCAAGAAGAAGGAAGTGAGTAACCTCTGCTTACGGGTTTGCAACATGCGGGTTAATGCTCCATTCTCTCACCTCCAACCGGATGAGGACAACCAACAGAATGAGAGAGAAAGAGAAAAAACTACAGTTACTATCTCAACAGGACTGAAAGACGCACAAATGGTGGACGGGAATTGAGCATGGAGAAATGAGAATGAAGTACCCTTGCTTCTCCCTGTTCAACGGACCTCACAGTGACAAACACACGCACACACAGCACTCAAGATAATCATGGAGTGAAAAGGGAAAAAAACTTATTTTGACAATGACAGGATCACCACCTGTCAACCGACTTTTAGCTCCCTATTTTAGGCTCCTTTTAGAGGCAATTTCGTGCAGTGCCTTTTGCACAGAAAACAACCCAATTTATGCAGCAGAAGGGAAATTGAATGCCTTAATTATTAATGCTTGGAAAGCGGAAATGGGGAGGAGAGAAGGAGGGATAAAAGAGGCGGGGGAGCAGCGACGGCTTAGGGAAAAGGGCATTCTATGGGTCCGAGCTGTGAATGCGAGTGTGCATAGACACACACACACACAGGCGCGAATTCCCACCGAACACTCGACTATGTGCAAAAACGTCGCGTGCAGTGAACTGTTGAATTCCAATTCGACTAAACCCTTGGCAAAATGACAGTAGCCAAATATATGGATATATATGCACACAAACACACACACACACACACATACAAGAAACATCACATTGCTGCCCACTCGTGAATGGGCAGTGGGCTTTTATTTTGCTTCCCATCCCCTCCTCTTCAACCCTCCCTCCCCCACTTTTGGACACATGGGATTCCATTCAAAACGGTGTAAATAAACTGTGTTTGATGTACACTACAACACACCAAACGTCAGTGTGTGCATGCAGTGTATAAGCACCTTCTTGCTTCAACGCACACACACACATACCAAGCTACATTAATAATTAATTAACCGAAACCATTCAGTCACATTGTTAACAGGAACTGCTTTCACATCCTATATTCACCATCTCACCACGCTTGGATGGACAAAAAGCGAGCTTTTGTTTACCCTTTGAATAATGCATTTCAGCAAGATGTTATCACCGCAGCATGCAGCGCTGTCAAGAGGAGCGGGAGGAAAATCCCTTTCACAGTAATTCGAAAGTAGGCTTTAAAATGCTTTTCACACCTTTTAACTGACTACAGACAGAATCCACATAGACCGACATGTAGACAAGCAAGCAGGCAAGCAGGGAGGTAGACATGCTGGTGTCAGTTGCCAATTGTTGGGTTCGCTAACCCACGTGCTAGATTTATGGTTGATTAAGCTCACCTCGAGGTTGACCTTGATTGACGTTTAAAGAAGTCGCCAAAATAGGCAAACCGACATGGCGTGAGGAAGCATCAGTCAATGCATTCACGCCCACACACATATTTGATGGCCAAGGTTCCAACCAAAAAAGGCCCTTCTGACATGGATAGTCACAAGCCCATACAGCCTTACACAAGGAATGTAAGCGAAAATTTTTGCCCAATACTGTGGCCACTTCCATTTTTTTTGTGATGACAAAAAAATTGCCACCCCTTGGTCGCCAATTTAAACAGATTAATCATCGCAGAAGGGCAGAAAAATTGCTACCATCTTGCGCAAAGCGTCACGAAAGGCACTGAGGAGAAGTGGGGGGATGCGTTTTTGGAATGGCAATAAAATTTTCCAGAAATGTAAGGCAAAACTTTGACACAGAGGAGGAGTAAAAAAATCAGAGAATGCCAAACTGAGGTTAAGGAGAGGAGGAGAGTGAAGGTGAGAGCGTTAGCCTTTTCTCTCGCTCCCCCTTCTCATTTCCACTGCTTTTGAGGGGCATGCGTTGTAGGTCGTGAAATAATTTAAATGAGCCGTGATTAATTTGCTCTTAAATAGACAACCTAGACCATAAATTTTCCATGAATGCGAAATAAAAGACAGTCATTGTGCACAACTGCTCTGATGACCTCAGCTAAAGCCTGAGATAGGCACAAAGTTGGAGGCGAAAAAACAGCCCCACTGCACCTGACGACGCATTATTAAGAAAGGTGGATCAAAAAGGACCGGTGACAGCTAAAATGGCAGATTAACTTGCACCTCTTCTAACCAAACTTAGGCCACCCTTTTGGGTGAATACCAAGTAGAGCAAAAAAATCGGATCTGTGTGAACACACAGTGGATAAATAGTTGACATCTTCTCCAATGGATATGGGGGTAGATTTGGTTTTAATTGGTGACCTAGGAAAGGCAGGACATCCAGACCCACGTGGGGATCAGAAGCGGAGAGGTGAGAGAAACGTACGTACATTTAGTGTAGAGCGAGAGACCAAGGGAGACAAAAGCGGCGACAATAAGAATGATGAGGGTCACATCTTGCATGGCCTCCCACACCAATGTACAGAAGTGTTTGGGCGGTTTCGGTGGTATGACATTGGTGCCAAAGACCTCTCGCCTCTCTTGAAAGTCAGAGCCAGACAAGCCTAAAAATAATTTTAAAAAGCACAAGTTTAATCTGTTATTGTCTCCAAAAATTGAAAGCTTAGGGGTACTTGAAAACAGATTAACACGTGACGATTTACCATCGTGTGTAGAGGTCTTGAGTTTCCTGCAGAGACCCTGTATTCCACCATAGCGTTCATTGAGTAGTTTAACACTGGCAGCGCCCCTTGCCTCCATGAGACGCTGAAGATCAGCCGTGGTGACCTCAAAGGTGGAGGGTCGTGCAACGCCCACGGCTGCATTATCATTGCTTTTTCTTTTTGTCATAGTCTAACACGGACAGGCACAAAAGGGACGTTTCTTCGCAGTCTGACTTCTCCTTTCAAATTCTACAAGTAGAAAACGCCACTATACATTCAAATGTGCTTGCCAAAAAGCCCAATTACAGGCAAGTTACACACTCTGGAGAAGTGTGTGTAAAAGGGGAAAATGGGTACACAGGCAGGTGACCGGATCTTAATCCTTTTCTTAATAAGATTGGAAGGGTCAAATAGCCCCAGCATGCAAGCTGTTTAAAAGTGCAGCTCATTTGCCGGTGTAATGCTAACCGCCTTCAATTTACCTCAGACCAACCTCATGGCTAGGTGAGTTTAAATGCCACGTTGGATGGCTAAATACGGAATTTCTGACCCGACCTTTTGCAGCATATTTTATGTATAGCTAAGGTAAAAGAAGAAAAGATCAGCTTTATCCACGATGATCTTCATTAAAGTGGGGAGAATGCACTACCAAGCAAGACGCACCAAACTATTCACATGGCCAAGCAAAACACATTTACCCATAGAACCAGCAATAAATGTTGCTGAAAGGCCTAAAACAATCAGACAGCAGTTGTCTTTAAATAGAAGGTGATTTTGTTAGTGAAAATGTGACATAACTTGAACAAGAAATGGCACACAAGACTTAAAGTATAAAAAACCACAATCTATCTCAGTGGAGAAATGAGATTTCCTTTAGTCTCCAGAAGACCAAGATACACCGAAGTGGAATGGATAAACAAAAATGAGTAAAAAATGAGAGCGAAACACCAGGAGACCAATTCCAAGTTCTTGAAAAGTTAGTTACTAGAAGACAATGAAAAACCGGAAGTGTAAATCCATATTGCTGTTGTTTTGTTTGCTTCTCGTACACCAATACCAGTGCCTCAAGCTCCAAAATTAGCCTTCAAGAATAGGCTATTTAATCCATAAAGGTGAAAGCCTTAAAAAATCTCTGGAGTAACACAGGAGCTGGGCTTCACACAAAAGTGATGTAGTCGGATCCTCAAATACCATTTGGCGCAACCAGGAAACAGGCTTTAATTGACTACGCCCGTTGCATCGTATGTCGAATGATCGATGAACGAGTGTTTACAAAAGTACATAACATAATCCTTGGCGGTATCAAGCACCAAATAACATGATAAAAAGTGGACACTAGAACCATAAATAGTATATACAGAGACCGCCAAACTCATTAATTTCGAAAAAAAAACGAATGATGCGCATACGGGAATGACAGCATTAAAATATGTTCACAGAAATGAGACTGTTAAAGCTGAAAATAACGAATCAAAAGCAGCCCGATCCGGTAATACTACAATGCGCAATAACTGCGAGTCCTCCCATAAAGCCTAAACAAAAACTCAGGCTAAAAAAATTACCACAACGAAAGTGGTCATCAAGCATTTCGAAAATGTCAAAAGGGTGTTACAGAGATAACCAGGTTTCCCACAATATAAAAAAGGAATTAGACAAAGGAAATATGCTCTAAAAGTGCTGCAGGGGAAACTGTTCAACTTTAAAAATCATGATGCTTAAGAAGAGTGGAGTTTTTAAAATTCAGTAGTTTAGCTAAGGCGCTATCAGGTAGGGCTTTGACACATGAGAAAAAGGAGACAAAAAAAATCGGAACATGGCTTGTGCTTCCCATAAAAAAGCAAAAGAAAGAAGACACTAAGTAAGCTATCATACAGCACAAAACGTGACAAAGCCTGGTAGTAATGCACCAAAACCACGCATAAACCTTTGACACAACAGCAAGTTGAAGCTGAAAGGAGCGCAATTGAAAATCCTTGACAAACAAGTGGACTTATTCAATGCATTCGATTCCACAGGATAATTGCAAAAACATATTATTTCATTGCAGTATGACCAACGGTCTCTGCACAACGATACAGAAAATAAAACAATATAACACAAACGAGATCATTCATACGCGCTCATAAAACTCCAATTCCCAAAGCACATATCTCCGAAAATTTTAACAACACCAACGCACTCATTTTTTCACTCGATTACAGCTACATCAATTACCTCTGAAGAACCCCAGACACGTAATCCACCAAGGTGTGAAACAGGAATTCCAAACGACGCGCTATTGTCGAGAGTCATATATTTGATTATATTAAACAAATACACCAAAGTTACACCATTAACTAACACACACGAACTGGACAATTTAAGAACACTTCTTTTCTATTATTGACTTTCCGAATTCCTCATATTCATGCCTCGATATCCACATTTGTTGGAAGGTACCCTAAGAAAAACCATTACCACCAAAACGAGAGGAACCCACCAACGACCCCAAAATCGACCCTCCAACCCAGTTGGAGAACCTCCTCTCCATCAGCGAACTTGGGAAATTGACTTTCAAACGCATACTCTAAGAGCTCCTTTAGTAAAAACGCCCGTTACCGACGGCGTTTTCAGTCCGAGATCCCTTTGCAGCCGATCTGTGAAACCAACAATCAAGCTGGTCCCACCGACTACCACGATATTATTGTACAAGTTCTAAAGAAAGCGTGCTACGAAAACCTTACCGGCCTGATGTCAATGTCACAGAGAGAAATGCTACTGGAGACGATATGACTCATGGATAACTCAGAACTGCCCCCGCTTTGCTACAAAATGAAAATGAAATGAAAGAAATGTACCGGCAACACCGATGGATCGAAGAGAGCTTCAGGAATCTGGAAGCGTTCATGACCCAACTCCACGTTATAGCCATTGGGAAATTCATAGGATATGGTCGGGATGGTTTCCATTTGCCTAAAACCGCAAGCAATAGTGTATGCTGCCGCCAATATCTTTTCAAAAGTCGCTCTAAAATAAGATCATGCTTGTGGCACGAAACCGCCATAACAGGGACTACAGGAGTCTAGGCAACCACAAAAATATTAATGACAACAACATTATTATACCAAAGAATAGTGTAAACATATAAAAAAACGAAGAACTACGCAACTGTCACCTGAACCTTGAAGAAATGGCACAAGGGAAACGCAAACCCAGTTCGTTTATTAATTAAGTTGTAAATTTGCTTGGAATACAAGCATAAAAGTGGCTAGAACAACACACACAACCATTAAAACATTTCCATAAATAGGATTTAATTGCACCATTTCTGAATCTAGTTCATAACAAACAGCCATGAGGTGCCTAAGACCTTAATCTAGCTTCTCATGCAATATTGTGGGGTGTTTTACTGAACTATGTGAACATACCCTTGATCGTAGCGCTCATCGGAAATTTGCAACACTGTTGCCGCGAAGTCTTCCATCAGATTCTGTTAATTAGGAAAAGCAAGCACTGTTGTAAGAGGCATAGGACAAAAGCATAGAACTCCTGTATTTAGTTTAAGGTACAAGGATCTGGATAAAAATGGTATTCAATTATTCTGCCGAAGTTCGATGTCTGCAATATGTCTATAACTAAAGAAATCATATTGCGTGTGCATAAAATGGGAGAAGGACACATACAAAGACATCAGAGCATTTATCGAATATATATTTCCATAAGCGGGAGCCAACCTGTTCCATGAAAGACTTGAATGACTCCGTGAGTGGTGGCAGCTTCTTCTCGGTCCACCGTGGTGCCTCCCGATCTTTTACGGGATCCTAGGTTAAATGTTCACCAGTCTTAACCCCATTTGAGGACTATGGCAAGTTAACCCCAACTAATAGTGCTCAAAGCTGTAAAGCCCGCATTTCATAAACAGTTGCCAAATAAAAATACAGAGCATCCAGGTAAGTTTGTTTAATGACACTTGCCTTAGTTGCATACAAAGCGCATCATGTTAGTAATGGTGAGTTATGCGGAATCAATATTTCGCCAAACAGAGGCAAAATCAAAGACATTCGGCGAACAATGAATATGACTTGCCTTTGCAGCAACTCTGTAGTAAGGGATAGGGTCAGTTTTTAGCTCCTCTTTGATTAGTTTGGCGCACTGCCTAGCGATAAAGTCTCCTGCCAGAGGAGTACGTACAACTCCTTGAAGAAGGACCCTACCGTCGTAGACGGGTACTGCTGAGGCACAAGAAGCCCCACAATCCAACACTAGTCCGGTGTGCCGACCGTTCGCAAAACATGCAAGAGCCGCACTTTTAGCTAGATAAAACGCAGGAACCTACAATATAAGAGGCAAAAAATTGCTACCTCGAATTTTTCAAACAAAACTTCGGTCAACTTTTCCCTTTTTATTTTCGGATTCCAAGAAGGTTCAGATAGGAGGATCGGATGCTGCGATTTTTCAACTGGGATCAAAAAGTTAATAATGTGGGATACAACGTCCTCGAAAACATCCCAATCCTCGACTAGAATGCATGAATATGCGGTACAGCCATACTTAATCCCTCTTTTATAAATGAAGCAATCTCCATTCTTTCGTAGGGAACATAAATATTGGTTCCGATAACGCGCTTCGTCACCGATGACTCGTCCTTTGGAAGGATGCAGCCGACGTAGCTTGGCATATCGATCTAGTGAGTCTAATTATTTCAATCGATATCAACTCACTTTGGGCGTATCTTCACCAGCAAACCCACCACGCAAAGTATGAGATCCAAAGTCAAGAACGATAGCACCAACCTCATCTGAAAGTTGGCGTATAAAGCTGTTAATAATAAAAAAAACATACCACTCATTGCTCATGAGGTCACAAATAAAGCGGACTAAAATTGATCGATGCAAACAAGTCATGTTGGTCCATATCTTCCGGCCCCATTATAAAAGGTGATTACTTGTCTAGCTTACTTACTCTTTTATATGAATAAAAATATTTTTAAAATAATATTGTTGTTTCTACTTGTATTTGCATTTTTAAAAGTCAAAATCCTCATATTTTTTGGTTTTGTTTGAGCTCTCAGTCCGCAGCATTCCCCTGAGTATGTGGGACGTCTTCTTTGCATATACTGGGTTTTCTGATAATTTTGAAATGGGCATAAACCGCTGCAATACTTTGTTTAAGGAACCACTTGCTATGTAGCGTTACTTTAAGGGCCGTCTGACTCAATATTATACGCACTAATATGCTCAAGTTTGTCATTAGTAGGGAAGAGGCGGGAAAAGAATTCAAAAACAAAGCGCACTTCGTGAGGAACATGAAGATACGTCCTCTGAGTGGCATCAACTCTCTGTTTTTATCAAATCCTTTTTTATATGATGCCTAATAAACTCTCATGAAGTCCGAGGTTTGGAGGTTGACTGAAGGCAGGCAGGTTCTACACTTAAACCCAGTGTGAATGCAGTGACTTGAGTCTCCTCACTAGATAGAGGAAGACATTATGTTGAACTGAATGCATGGATTCTAGGAGGACAAGAAGGGGTTAAGCCTTGCCTTGGCCCAAAGTCCGGATTTGGCGTACAAGAGAAAGAGGAATGCCAAAGCGATTACCTACACCTTAGGTGATCAGATGGACTAAGTACTGCGGTAGAGTTCATTTTGATCCTCGCTTATTTTTTTTCGAATTTTCAAAAACTCATTTCCTGTATAGACATTATTATGTTAGATTGACTAGACAGTCCAACAATGACTTAAATAATTTTTTGATCAAACATAAATCAGAAGAAAATATCGACTCTTTGTGACTAACTGAACCGAGACGTGATTAAACCCTCTTTTCTTTGGTGGACCCCACCCAAAAAAAATAGTATAGAAGTGTTCTTACGGTAATCAACAACTCTTCTCACATCTCCAGGAGGGTGGAATTTTGCCACTTATTCTAAAATTGGTTCGGGCGTAGGTAGCAACGAGTGCACCGATTCTGCACATTAAACTTTTAAGCACTGCTCTCAACTCTTTTACAGAGTGTTGCAATTCTCTATTCGTGTTTCGTAATCCGATTAAAATTCGTTCTTTTTCGCTTTTTGAGATCCTCATTTGTATCACAGCGTGCTGCGCTGACAATTGGTCGAATTAATAGAGGCTTTTAGCTGTTGTGAATTCGCATGTCTCCAAGGCACGACTTTTGTTGCAATGCCTTTTTCTTCCCCTTTCCTCACACATCATCGTAAGATTTCGACTCCATTACTTAGGCCTCCTACCTTCGATAAGTGATTGACATTTCACCTCGATTTGACAGAATGTCGATCATAACGCTTACTGGTTAATGCATAACTTTCATCTGTTAACTTTTACCGAATTTAACCATGAAAGATGAAGAGGGTAACTTACTAAGTAATGCTCTTCCCCTTCCATTGTTTAACCCCATAAGAAAATAGTAATCGGAAAATATTTCAATTAAACTCAAATTTGTAATGTGAGGAATGCGGAGATGCAGAGAAGAATGCTGAATGGACCTTATTTTTCTAATCCTTTTCACCTTTTGGTTTGTCTTTTTGGGGCGGGTTTTGCGTGCTTCCTCTTAGAGGTAGTGGAGGAGTCGCTCGATGAGCTCTCGGAGTCATCCGAAGAAGAAGAATCAAAAGAAATGGATGGTGTTGGCGATGATGACGACGATGATGACGACGATGACGACGTCGACGAAGACGATGATGTTGACGAGGAAGAGTCATCCGATGACGAACTGGAGCTGCTGTCATCATCACTATCGTCAAACTTTAAGTCTTCTGAAGACCATGTTGAGGAACTGGAGGATGAATCCTTCCGATTTTTTTGGGCCTCTTTCTTAATGGACGGTTTTTGCACACTCCCTTGCTGTGATGTTCTGACACTGCCAGTAGGAGGTGTCTTTACATCTTTGACATTAGTTTGAGGACGACTAGCGTTGCCTCCCTTATCAAAGAGCTTTATTCTCTCATTGAAAGGTAGCACCGTGGTAGTGACACTGTTCTCACTTGATTTTGGCATGGATTTGTCATCCTCATTAGGCGCTTTGGTTTTCGTGGGCACCTCGGAATTCTTAATGGTGGCGGATGATGTTGACTTAGTTTGCCCTAGCGAGCTTATTGGAGGGGGCATAGGCAACTGAATGGGAGTCGCATCTTTGGACGCAGTTTTAGCCTCAACGCTTGTGCTTGTCTTGACAGTTTTATCAACCTTCGGAGCGTCTATTCTCTCCCCATCTTGTTCATCCGATCTGGTTGTTGAGGCCACACATGGGGATACGATGGGGCTTGGTAAAGGCGGTTGCGTTGCCTTCTTTGGCTCGGTGTGGTCATCAGTAGGCGATTCTGCTGCAAAATCTTTCCCAGAAGCATTGCACTCCCTTGTGGTAGTGGTGGTTGGAGCCTCATTAACAGGTCTGGTATGCTGAAGACTTTCTTCCGAATCGGTACCACTTTCTTCGGCCTCAGACTCCATGACGGAGGGGGATTTACTCCCCTCCTCACTAACAGTCCCTTCTTTTGGAGCCCCCGTGGGATTGGCATAATCATTCACATTCACTTGAAGAGGAGGAGAAGGAGGTGGTTGGGGTTTCTCATGACTTTCCAATTGTGGCGGCGCGGCATTAAGTTTAGCAGGCTCATCTCTGCAGGGAAAGGCTTGTTCAAAAGTGCAACAAATTTACCGTTTTTTGCGATGCAATTTATTTGAAATTCGTGCTCTAATTGATCGATGAGGTTTGGTTTTATCATTTCTACAATGTGTGTAAGAAAATGTCAAGGTGAATGCCCAAATTTACTCTTTTGGCGCCTTATTCTTCTTGCTTAGACCTCGTAGTTTCCGCATACCTACACTCAAATCAGGGCACAGTCGGTAGACGCAGGTGGTGCAAGTACGATTTTATGAGAGAAGGCATTTAGTGTGTCAACACCGCACCACCAATCACTCAGGCCCTTGTGAATGCACCAGTGATGTTGGATGCAGTGTGTGACACCGCAGACATGGATTTGCGCTTCTCATCTACAAGCGACTGGAGTTATCCACGTCCATCAGGTCGAGTTGGCATCATTTGTCTTTGGGGACAACTGCGACTTCCTTCCGTATTCCTCTCCTGATCTCTCTCCAATCACGGCAAGGAATAAGGGAAGGAAAGTGTGTGTGCTGTGTCGGCACTCTTCGTGCTAAATAAGCTTAATAAGCGCAACCTTGAGGTCACACTTGCATTCTAAAATGGAGGAAAAATGGGAAAAGTGAACGGGTGGAAAGATTAAAGCCAAAGAACTATCACTTGTGGAGGTCGTGGAATCCCCCTTTCCTTCTTTTCCATCATCATCACTTACCAAATTAGCACTTTTAAGCTGTCAGAAGTCGAAACACTTGTATTTTGATGACTGCAATGATGTGAGTGCTTTAAAACAAAAGGTGATTTTAGCCTGTTCAGATTCTTGAGGTGGCATTGCTCCCCCATTTTGGAGTATAGCACCTAATTTTTGCGTTATATGGTTTAACAGGCTTTCTGAATTGGCGGTCGAACCCCCTCCAGGGGATGCATTGCCTCCTCCTCCTCCTCCTCCTCCTCCTCCTTCTCCTCCTCATCCTCATTCTCCGCCTTTTCCTGCTTCGGTGGTGAGGCCTTCAACACCCGCCAGGAGAGGCTCATTTCATCTCCCCGTCCCCTCATACTAACACAACCAAACCACATTGGATGCAAAAACATTAATTTTACGCATTGCTGTTTTATTGCTGTCTCGTTGTCCAAGTGGTAAAGGGGCTCCAACCTCTCCAAAGTTGCAAAGGACTTGTTTGAAGGTGCTTTTTTAATTTCCACGTAATTCATTTTCAAAGAATATGTGTGTGTGACAAATGTCTTGCGCATACCTTTCAATCATCCCTGTCAATGCGCCACTCACGTTGATTGAGGCAATGAAATGTGGTTGCTTGGAGTAGAATTTTTACATTCACCTCAAGTAGAATGGATAAAAAGAATACAATTTGGTTATACATCTCGGGTTACTCCTTGTTTTGGGTAAAAAAAAACAACTCTTACCCCATTATTCGTCTTTACTTACACAAGAAAAAAATCCCAACTTCTTCAATTTGCGTATTTTTCTCAAACCGAGGAGACGTTTGCGGAGGCAAAAGGAGAAAAAAAGCAGCATACACAAAACGGTTTTGTAAAAAATGGGACTTAAATGACGTCATTTGTTGGAGTTCGTGTGGGCGAGAGTGAGAGATAGAGAGAGAGAGAGAGAAAGGGAAAGAGAGAAGTTGAGGGGAGAAGGTAGAGGGAAGGAAAGTGTGTGGGCCTTTATGAAGTGCCAATCACAAAACTTGTCTATCCCCCTTATAATTCCATAAACTTGTCACTTTCTCTTTCAGTCTACTAACCCAGGTTGTCAGAATGCGATAAAAACGGGAGTGGAGGTGGGAGAGAGAGGGGAGAGACACGGAGGTGGGGAGTAAGAGAAGGAGACTTAAAGAAACAAACCACAAAAAACTACCCAAAAAGGCTAATGGAAATTTCTGACCCATTCTCCCATTAAACACATCAAAAAGGAATGGCGATTAAGAAGTGTGGAGTTTTTTTTTTCATTATTTTCTTCCAAAATTATGGTGATAAGGTGGACTGAGTTGTCGAGTTGCACTAAATCTTGCCCTTTTTTTTGATGACTTTGTGGCAGTTTTTAGCGTCTTCCTCTTCAGAGGTAGTGGAGGAGTCGCTGTCGGAATCGGAGTCACTGGAGGAGCTGTCGGAGGAGGTGTCCGAGTAATCCGACGAATCTGACGACGATGTGGATGAAGAGTCGTCGGAAGAGGAGTCAGACGAAGATGACGTGGAACTGGAGTCGTCACTGTCGCTGTCGCTGTCGCTGTCACTATCACTGTCACTATCATCATCATCACTGTCGCTGTCGCTGTCATCGTCACTGCTGCTTTCAGACGACGAGTGGGAAGAAGATGACGATGAAGATGATGAACTTTGACGTTTCTTTGACGTCTCCTTGACACCTCGTTGTTGTTGTTGAGATTTTAAGTAACCATTTCCATTTTTACTATTTACTTCACCACTATTTGCCTTACTTCCATTTTCAAAGTATTCCAACCTCTTATTGAAGGGAAGAAGCTTGTCAATGACGCCCTCTTCATTGGTTTGCGCCTTAGATTTGCTCGCCATGTGTTACCAACTCAGAGCAGTG